AACACTTTTAGCATTGAGTTTGCTGGTCCCACGCTACAGTTTTAATATAGAGTCCCACTGAAATTAGCCAGGTGATGGCTTTAATACAGTTCCATTCCACTCCATCCATTATTCTGTACAGTCTATTCCTAGCAGGATCTCTGGGGCCGCTGAGGCCTCTCAGGCTATTACTGGGTGAAAGGAGAGGTACACCCTGTACAGTTTGGAGTTTACAATTTTTTCTCAGTGACATTGTTTACGCATGTATCTCATCCTATTTTTAGTGCTATACGGCAATGTTGACTGACAAGTGAGAGAAGGACACACCTGTTCCCCATTAAGTTTTCAGGCTAACTTAGTAAAGTTTGTGTCCATAATTTGTTTCATAAAGTCATTTTGATTACCACAGAAAGTAAATGATGGTTAAATAGCAGGTTACCAATCGAATGTACAGAAAGAAACAGACAGACAGACACACACACACTCACATATAGAAAGAGACATTCTTCACAATACCTCATGGCGATACAGCCGTGGTCCACTGTGTCCTTCAGTGGTAGAATTTCCAATTTATTGGCGAGTAAGCATGCATGGTTAAAATTTAAATAACTGCGAAGCACTATTTATAAATGGCAAGCCATTTCATGGCTATTTCATCCAATTCATATGCACACTGCTTCTTACCCGCCATATCAGGATTGCAGAAAGCAAGTCATGAAAAAGAATAGTAGCTAAAGAAAATGTAAGAAGCTCAAATTGGTTATGAAACTAAAGAAAAATACTGAGTGTATACTGTATGTGCACCCTTAACTTTATTTCACAGTACTTTGTCCGAAAGCAGATAACATAGTATTAAGAAATAAAATAAAAAGAAAACACATTTTTTGTGCTCTTGTTTTTGATGCACTTAAACAACTGTTGATCTTTCTAAAAGTTTTTCTCAACACTTTAAACTCTTATTAGACACTGAAGTGCTACAATATGCAGTATAAAACATGTTGCTAAACAGCTAAAGTAACTAGAACCTTGAAAGGTCTCAGAAGATACTGAAATGCATTTATAAAAATAACAAATGGAGACTCAACAACAGTATCAACACTGGAAATGACATAAAAGGAAATTTACACCTGTACACAAATCTCAAAATTTTAAGGCGATTAAAATATTAAGTTAAACAATCCAGTTAACACTGAATATGGTGCTTACAGAAGACATTCACATCAGGCTCATGGATGTTCATATTGATGAATAAAAAAGCATTGTGAAACATTTATATGAGATGGGTACGATACAGTGACGGAAAAAATACAAATAATTTAAATAAATATCTACATGTAAGGTGTACTTGGAGAAGGAAGTGCATGTAAATGCATGTCAATGTGTTTTGTTAAGGTCAGCCTCATAATCGGATCTCAGTCTCGCATTGAAGCGATATAAGTATATACCGTAGCTGCTTTTTTCAATGATCAGTGCAGGTTTTGGTATAAATTTATTATGAAAGAGTGAAGGTCCTAAACGGCTGGGCTAATTTTTAGCCTCTGAAAGAAGAAGTGGCGGTTTAGCAACAGGTGAGTTTTCCACAGGAACATGCAGCTGGAGACAAACATGCATCCCCAGAAGAAGATCCACAACATATTTGAACTGGATCGTTATCGGGCAGGATGGCTCCGTTTGGTTCACAAAAGCACAGGTTCTGTGTAAACATCTCAGTAAAGTTCTACAATCAGAATCACAGATCGTATTTGAAAGCAATCGAGTTTTTAAATTTGAATTGATAAAAAAGATTTCAGAATCAAGTGGAGTAGAAAAAGGTAAATACACGATGGCATACATAAAGCAGGGAAAGAGATTATGAAAAGTATTAATCACAAGAGATGTGTGTGGAGCAATGCACAAACGTATGACACTACTAATAGGAAAATATTCAATGAACTTGTTTTACATTTATTCATTTGGAAAGAATTTCTGTATCTTATTCATTCATAAACTGTTGTTTTTATATGAAATTATGTAAAGGTGCAACATCAATCTAAAACATATTCTGATGTTGGGCCAAATGTGAATGACAATAGAATGTATAATAGTCACAATGGGGCATAGAAAACATAACAAAAACAGAAAATGATTAATTTCACTATTTTTTGAAAAATAAATTAGCTCATTTTGATTTTGATGGGAGCAGTTATTTCAAAAATTGAAAAAGGGTACGATAATGTAACATCTCCTCAGCTAAAACACTCCAAAAGCCTCTGGGAATTGAGAAAAAAGAAGATTGCTTAAACCTTAGGAACGTCATCCCATTTTCCTCCCATCATTGTAACGTCTTAATGTACAGATCTTTTCAAATGGTAAAAAGTCTGGATTACATGCAGGCCAGTCCAGAACCCACATCCTTCCACTTCAAAGTCATGCTGTTGTAATGGTCAAAATGTGCAGATTTGTCTATTTGAAATAAGCAATGTCTTCCCTGAGAAAGATGTCAAGATGTTAGCAAACATTGCCCTGAAAACTGTATATACCTTTCAAAATTTCAAGATGTGTAAGTTTCCAGTTCCACAGTTAATAATATATATTATTAAAGATGCTGAAGTTTTATTTTTTTTTAACTGGGCCCTGATATGAAGCCAGATGATCTCTATCCTTCCCCGTCCAAAGGGTGCAGCAACCATGATCTCCAAAATATATTAAAAAAATTGATGAGTCGAACCACTTTACAGTTTTCCAATTTGCTTCAGCCCATTAAAATTTTGATTTGGCCAACAGATGAAAGCTGTATTTTTGGACAATGTTTGTACATGTTTTTTTCTTTATATCATAATAATGTAAAGTGTGAACAGTGAACATCCTTTTTACAAGTATTCTTGAGCCAAAGCAGGGTTTGCCAGCACTTGTCTGTTAAAGCAGCACCAACTGAGGGGCACCATCATGACACTCAGCATTAACTGTTGGCCCTTAGTTAGTTGTCTCTAGATTCTCTTAATTTTTCGACAGCATTATTAACTGTGGAAAATTCCCATTATGAGTTGGGGAATATAATTTTGAAATTGCTCCACAATTTTGAAATTCTTTTGTGTTTCTTTTTTTTTTTTTTGCCCATCAACGCTCAACATATTCCTCCACATATTTGTTTTTAGAACCACTTTCTTTCTAGCCTTTTGGGGCCTCAATCTATATTATTTTGTGATGCTGCCATCAATATCAAGATAAGCCAATAGTCATCATGAAATAGTAAAACATCTAATCCTTTTCTGCTCTACTGTGAGTTTGATATTATTGCATGTGAAATAGATGCAAATAGTTGCAAATAGATGCTTTTATATTTTTCTCTCTCATCCTTTTTGCGATCAGGGTTGTGGCTGTGTGTTTTAACACAGATGAGTATTGTTCAATCAAACTATTAATATGACTATTGTAAAGTTAAATTGTATAACCATAAAGATAGGTTTTAATGTACAAAAATCCCATGTGAATGATCATTTTAAATATCCCTCTCATGAGCAGAAGATTAGATATTTATTCAGAATTCATAAATATGTATATGAATCATCATGAGCCTGTTTGAATAAACCTTGACAAAAAGAAAACGCATCAGTTTGATAAAAAAAAAAGGAAACAGGAAAATCATGAAATACAAATTCACAGCCATTAAGTCAGAGGATTCAATTTCACATTCTCAAATTTTACTCTAGCATGTTGATATTTGCCTGGTACTTAGCTTTCATAATATACAAAAAGATTTAACAGCCTAAGCGGATAAAAATAACATTAAACCTCTCAGCAAGCAACAAGGCCCATCTGAAATAACAGACTACTTTTTCCTCCATTTGTTGGATCACACAGTATGAAATATAATACACTGGGAGAAATCTTGAAGCAAAAATAGAACAAAAATACAGTCATTAATAGCATGACATAAATATTTCTTGAAAATATACATAAAAGCTGCCATAGACAGATCTGAGTACGTATCTGTTACATTCATCCATCGGGCTTCTTTGCCTCATAGAACAGCTGTCTGTGTACTTTTGCAACAAGTGGCAAAGTACAGCTGCCTCATTCCTTTGAATTACTAGTGATTAAATGTAGGCTTGTGTCTTTCATCCTGTATATGGATGCTATTCTTTTGCAATTGTCTGTTTTGAGGGAGATTCCAATAAAATAAAAAGTTACATAGACTGCCGTATGTACACGTAATCCCCAGATTGTGCAGAAATATTGTAAACATTTCAGTTTTTTCTACTTTGGTACTAATGAAATAAAATGTTTGTGGGTGAAACCTACGATGGAGATGTTCACCATACAATGATCTATACTGCACTTTTGCCAGCACAAATCCTGGCAGGATCCATCCAGTCAATACTGCACAGTGTGATTCAGGGGAGTAAAAACTGAATCCATCTGAAATGTGTAAAAGCTGTAAAAAAGAATTAGAACAATAAAAAAAAACAGGCGGTGATGGTTAAAATGAGATATGTTCTGACAAGTTTCTATTAGGACTTGCCATTTTTCAGTCACAAAGTTAATCTCAATGAACAGCGCTCCGTTTGATAAAACAGTTTCTTCTACTAATACTTCACCATTTACACAGCAAACATTGCAAATATAGAAACCCATATCTGTACACAGTTTTCAATTAGATTTATGCAAAGAGGAAAGAAAAAAAGTGTTCTTTTTGAATGGGTCTGGATAGTTCTTCAAAAAATATTGAGGTGACAGAAGTAGTTTAATATTACACAACAGTAAATCCACTGTCACAGGACTTGGCCATGCGATACCCAAAAACCTATTATCCATTGTAACATATATATTATTAATTTGCAATATATATTTTCTCCTGATGAATTCTTTACATAATATGACAAATTTTATAAATCTTCACCCCATTTTCTTCACAGTCAAAAGAGAATGTAATACATGTGAGTGACTGGTTAAGTATAATATGGAAGAATCCACTGATTCAATTGTATGATGAGGTTCTTGTGTCTGCAACATTAAGTCCATTTTAAAAACACCTAAATGGGTTATGATTTATTCTGGGCTGAAACACCTTTCCAGTAGTCTAAAATATCATGCAGGTCCTCATCCTTTGCAAATTGGACTTTTTTACGTAGGGCGTGGCCGGCGGCCATGTACTCCTCATCTTTATGCCGCTTCCGGTGGAGTTTGAATCGCTCCCAGATACTATGTGAAGGCTTACAGTAGTACTCAGGACTGGAGGAATAGCTTAGATTGTGATATTGAGATGGTATTTGGGAATATGCTAAGTCTCTGGAGCGGGAATGGGTGAGAGGCTCCAACAGCTTGTGGCTTTCAGGTCCTTCCAGTTCCTCTATTTGAGGGTCGGGATATGAGTGCCGGTGGTCACTATACTGACGGATCTTTTCTGCCTCGGCCCTAAGGATGGCGGCAGCGGGCGTTACAGTGAGGATGGTCTCTCCAGTGGGGGAAGTTTTCTCTATGTATTTGGATTCTGAGCGATAAGGCCTGGGGCTTCGCATGGGTCCTCCTGTGGCAGTGCTGGGCCTCTTTGGTGAGACATCAGTGCTCCGATGCCTCTGCAAAGAGTGGTGGTAGCTGTCCTTATACACTGGAGACAGAAGGGAAGATTTATTCTGTGGGTGCTCTGATATTAGTACAAGCTGGGGTTCTGCAGTGGAGACTGCTCCCGATTTAACCCCTTGAAAAGAGGTGGATTCTGTCTTTAAAGCATCTATGCAGTTGTTAATTATTTGATTTACTTTGTCCACCTCTTTTGCAATGGTGGAAATCTCTGCCACAGAACCCTGACTATTTCCAGGCATTCCCATGTCACACTCCCTGCGCTCATGATGGTCCATACTTCGCACGTCCATATAATTTCCCTTAATCATTTTAGGAGTATCACTTATCTCCTGAAATTTGTACTGGTCCATCTCACTGGCAGATGGTAAGTATGGCATACGTGCCATGCTCTCCCCAGCCAGCAACTGCTTCTGTGACATCCGAGACATAGTCCCACCTTCCAGTTCTTGACCATATTTCAGTTCCATTATATTCTTCTTCAGACTGCCTGATTTTTTGTGCTTCTCGTCTTGTTGACGCTTTCTTCGCAAGCAGTAATAAACAATTCCCAGAAAAATCACCATGCTAAACAGGCATCCTAAAATCGTCATTATGTAATGAGTAGCCGTTGCATTGTTTACAGCTCCGACTTTTCCATTCCATGGTCCAGTGGAGATTGTCAGACACGTATGGTTATGTCTGAGAGAATTGCGTATTGAAGCAACACAGTATGTGTAGTTTGTCTGGGGTTTAAGGTTTTTTAGTTCAATATCTTCCTGTATGTCTTTCAGGTTTCGAATATCTGTGAAAAAACTGTTGTTGTATAGAACCAGGATGAACATTTTCTTGAAAGGATCAGGAATCTGAACGCTGATGGTAGCCCCTGTATTTGTGACTTGCTTCACTTTCATCAATGGGATTACTTGTACATCAATTTCAGTTGTACTTGCAGTGATATCTTCTGGTTCTGTGCCTGAGGGACAATCTTCCAGCCCACAAAGAGTGGAGTCAGGTGGTAGTGTTGTTGACTCAATTGAAATTGGGATGAATGGGGTCACATAGTCATCGGTACACACAGTAGTGAGCATGTGAAGAGCATTTCTATACGTTGGATTGTTAGGATTCTGGCTTAGTAAACTATAACCTGAGACGCCAGGGGGGGAATCACAGACCATCCGCTCATTTGTCCTATTTGGGAAAACTGAGAACCATTTCACAAATCCCAGTAGCTCACAGGAGCAGTTGAAAGGGTTGGTGTACAGCTCACAAGTTGTAAGTTTGGTTAAGCTGGTAAATGTGGACCCATCTAACTGCTGGATTCGGTTCATGGAGAGATCAATGTTCTCTATGTTGGGGCATTCCCAAAAGGCATTATGTGTCACAGTCTCAATCAGGTTTGCCTGGAGGTAGAGGTACTGCAGCTTTCCCAAACCCCGGAGGATCCCCTCTGTCAGATTCCGCAGCTTGTTGAAGCCCATTTGAAGGACTTGTAAGTTGAACTGAGCAGAAAAGGCTCCGTCCTCTATGTAAGAGATTTCATTCTTGGTCAGGTTCAGGTACGTCAAGTTGGCAAAGCGACTGAGAGCAGAATACTGGATACTTTTGATCTTGTTCTCATTCAGACGAAGGTCCACAATGGTGCTGTTGATATGCTGTGGGATGGCCTCATAAGGTGGTTGGTTTTGGCTACAAATTGCAAGCCATACAAAGCCCTTCTCACCCTCGATTAACCAGCAGTCTCCACTGGCTCGGCCAATAAGAGTCAAATAAACGATGGCTACAGACCAAAACAAGGCACTCATCACCATGCCTAAGCTGCAGGCCATTGGTGCTTCTTTGAGAGTCATGAGTATGGCCAACAAAATGAAATATGAGTAATCTTACTACTGTGTTAGTGCCACTGATGCAATCCTGTCAGAGAATCAGCTGGATGTTCAACTGCTCTCAGAGCCAGAATAAATCCTTTAATTTGTCTTCTCCTCATGGATGGATGTATGCCGATGGATGTTGTCCCCATGTACAAGTTGTAACAATGGTGGGTATCCTCTGGTTTCTTTCATTGGGATTTGCCAGCAGTCAACTTCTGGTGGTATTCAAAGAGATTTCACCACCACTGCTTGTGCTTTTTTCCCTCAGAGGCTACCATCATTAAATGGTCATATCTTGATGATTCTGAAAGCTCCCTCCTTCCTCTGTCTCTGTCACATGCACAGATGAATAACCTGCAGCACAGAGAAAAGAGCAAAAAAGTGATGTTAGGCGCACTTCACCAACATTTAAGACATAGCTGTTGGTTCTTAGATGCTTCACACAAAGCGAGGATATGGGTTGACTCAAACCCTCCTTGTTTGTGCATTACCAATTATTTTGTACACAGTTTAAGAGGTGTTTGCAGTCCCTGTGGCAGACTGCTATTAAAAGAAACTGTTGGCCAATTACCACTTGACAGGTTGAGAAAAGCAGGGTCCCTGTTTTCACACCATTAACCTGAGGACTGTCAGGCGGGAGGCCAATGTTAAGAAGCTGTATTAAATCACATCCAGCACCATGTAAAGGGATCACTTGGATCAATGTGTTTTACATTTTTCTATAAAAACCTTTATGCATGAATTAAAATCTTTGTGAAGGCTGGATAAAATATAAGTTGTATTCATGCACCAGTTGAATGAATGAAATCTTCTGGAACGACATTACCTCTATCAATCAAATGCAGAGCAAGCACACAGCTTTTTGAGAAAGGCCCAGTGTTAGCTGCTATGGATTACGCTAAGCAGCTACAGTAAAGTGATTACTGACCACAAGTCATCGGTAGACTGTAGTGAGGTGCTTTCTTAGATAACATTTTCCTCAGTTTATGTCAGTCAGAAAAAGGGCCAAAAAAACTTTTCTAGAAGGGAAGTACAATTTGAAAAACTATCTGACCTCCTTCTTTTAATTCACTTTTACCTGCCGTTACCCTTCCGAATAGAATACAAACTGTAAACTTTGTTTCATGTTTGACAATGATGTATACAATGTGTGGAATTTTGAAAACTATGTTAGTTTATTTCACGAATCTTGATAAATCTGAAGATCTGCTGGAACGTGAAGAAAATTACATCCATCCATCTATTTTCTATATCCGCTTATTCTAATAATGAGCTGGAACCTGCCTGAACTAAAATTGGTCTGGAGGACACAGACACCTTGAACAGGTGACCAATCCCCAACAGGGTCAGAGACAAATGAGGCAAACAACCATGCACATGCACCCTCACTTTGTGGGTTAATTTAGAGATACTAATTGACCAAGAATGTTTGTTTATGGACAGTGGGAGGAATCCAGAATACCTTACTCATAAACAGAACATGCAACCTCTGCACAGATAGGCCTTCCATTCAAATGAAATAATGTAGACTACAAGTGCTTCAGGGTACTGACTTTATACAGATCCATGTCCATTAAAAGTAGTTATCCTTGAGACCCGGCAGAGATAGTTGTCGTATCAACTAAACCAAATGCATCCTCTGCTGTACTTTGTAAAATAGGCTAATGTCATAAGTTTCCATTAAAAATGAATACACAAGCCAGAAATGTTGTCAAAAAGTAAACAATCACAACATCAAATAAGAGAAACGTTGCATGGAGGTATGTTAGATTCTACAATGCAACTGATGGGGCTGTTTATTTACTTTGAGCAAAAGGTCCTTTTTACTTTGCTCAAATCTTTGCTGAAGTTTTGTTGTGGCAATGACAGGTATAGTATAACTTATATAAAGGTGTATTTCACATATATTTTCTATAACCCAAAATAACGGTGAACACCAGCTCCAGTTGCAGACATGGCAGTCGTAGGCTAAAACAGGAGCACGGACGGATTGAAAAGTGTGTTTTATTGCTCACGTGGTTGCTGTTAAGTGTAGATGTTCATTTAGACTGATTCCAGTAAACAAGCTTACTCTATCAAATCTCCGTTCTCTCCTTTTCACACCCTTCTTTACAGCATTTAATTGCTCAAAGGTCAACACACTGCTACTGACAAGGAAATGGAAAACATTGCCTGGTGCACAGGTACAGGTTTTTCCTCAAAAACTACAATGATATACCAATAATGACATTCAACATTAAGCAATCCACCGGATTGATTTTAAAATGCTCCAAATGGATGTTTATACCTAATTACAGTATGAATTATTTCTATGTGTAAATTCAACTGCTGAACTTTTATGACTGAGTATCTTGAAGTTAGAAAAACGTCAACTTTTAATGCATACTTGATGCAGACTTGAATTAATTGAAATAGCTTTGACAAACAACCTAAAAGGAAATATTAAAGATCAGGAAAAAAAGGAAAGCAACTTTATACTTTTGTAATTTTTTATTTTGTTTAGTCAAATGGACCACTTCCTTTTAGATTGTTTCTTCTCATCATGACTATTGATTTAGTGAAAATAAAAATGAAAAAGATACAGTCAGACTTTTCTGTTTTGTTAATAATACCGATAATACCGACCACCTCAGGGAGAATAAAAACGTGTTTTAATGTGTGTGTGTGTGGGAGAGCATGGTTCTTTGTAATATGGATAATCACACCATGAGGAAGAGAGTGAATTTGACAGTTTATAGCAGGGAGACTGCTCTTGAAACTGAAACCAGAGTTGCAGCTGTGGATCTGAAGACCATTCCTGCTGTTGTTTGACCTCTGTGTGAGCTTATCGCATTACAGTCACTTTCTATTGTGGTTTTGCTGGTCATACTCTGAGATGGGAAAAGGTTTCCCTCTTCACTTGATTGTAATCCCTAATTTGACATCTTTTTTTGCTAATAGGATCAACCGGCGACCACGAACTGCTCTGTGTTCAGCAACCAAGTTCCTTATTCCCCGCATACAACCCCATTGCTCCCGGGAGCTTTGCAACCTAACAAACACCTTCCCTCAATGCATGCATAGAGTCATGTGCTGCTAATTTGATTTGCCAATTACTCTCTGAGTGCATGTAATTGCAGATCACATTATGTGTGCAGTTTTTTTTCTTTTTTTTTTCTGATTTTTTACAATATGCAAATTGCAGAGAAGTGGTTGGAGTGGGTGGTGGGCGTACCAAGCTCTGGACTGTAACATCAGAGAGGTTTTGCGTCCCGAGGATTGTATTGTTAGATTTATGCAACAATCTGCACTACTTCAGGTTCGAGAGGGTTTACAGTTAGACATAATTTACTTATTTCATGTTTTACCACAGACACTGTCTCTACCTGTGGTATTTTGACATAGTCCTACAGCAAAATGTGAGTCACATGAATGTATTCAACTGATATGTTTTGAAGGACATCCTTTTAGCTCTCTTTGCATAACTTTGAACATACAAAATTATTTGATTGTGCGTGTAACCATGTGTTGACTGTTGTATGACAAGTAAATGGGGAAAGAGAAAGAAAAGGTCCAACACTGAGAGGTGGGTGGAGGGCTAAAACAACCATACACACCTAACTGGCAAAGATTGAGAACCACTGTTGCCTTTCAGCAAATACTATGCAAAGAAAAACAAATTCTGACAGTATCTTTATATTGTATGTGGCTATTTCTGTTCAAATAGAAGAAGAACATCAAATGCGGAGACCATTAGTGTGGATAGAACTTTTATCAAACTTGGTCAAATAGTTTTTTTAAATTAAACTCATGAGCCAAAACAACAACAAAAAAATAAAGAATAAAAATGGGCATTCAATTCAATATAGTAATACTTTTTCTTAAATTGCCAACTCCATAATTTTTCCATTCTATCAAATGCTACAAATAAACGACTAAAGCAGAAACTGTCTTTCTGTGTGGCATAAGCAAAGTATTTGAATAAACTAATAACATTTAGTTAAAGGCCAGTGAGCTTTAGAATTTGATCTGCTTCACAGTAGATACATACTTTTTTAACTAATAGCTTCTACAAAGCAGTCTATAACTGTGTTTGCCGAATGTCTTTCAAAAGTGTAAAAACATCAGAGATGAGGGCAGGTTTGCTGCATGTAAACACTCGTCATGTCCAATTCTCCTTGGTCCGCTCAAAGAATTTATCTGCAATGACACTGAGACAATCAAGTAAAAGCACCGGTCAGCTTTTCAAGTGCAGATAAAGAGAAGAGCATGAATAAATGCCGTGGTGAGCACCGCAACAGAATGCCAAAGGCTGCCATTAAAGAACCACCTTCGTGATGACAAAAGAGCAGTGGCAGGAGCACTGGAGAAAAAGAACACTTCCGAAGCCCTCAGGAGGAATGCGCTTCCAAATCAAATGTTCCATGAAATGAATATTAAAAATACCCGGCTGCAGAATATCGGCCCAGGCCTGAGATCTTTCAAAGAAAAACTGTGTCTTGTTATTACTGCTTCGACTGTGACCTTTATTGCAAATAACGCACGGCAGACGGAGGCTGAGCTCTTCCAACCTGGCCTCTGCTTGCTCACAGAGTGACACTGATGTAAGATCCTTTTAGCCATTAAATAAAAGTTTTAAGTTCAACCTGAAAAGCACCCCACTCCATTTTGAATTCACTGGATGTGTTCTGTTTGTCCACAGTGACTCACTCTGTGATCACTGCTTCACCACCAAAGCTCTTTAGAGGAAGCCAGAGGAAGAATAGTCCCTCTTCAGCCGGTACATACAAACACACAAACATGACACCACTTGCTGGCAAAAACTGCAACTTTTAGGTGTAAATGCATGGGCTTTGCTTTTTAATATTGCACAGCATTTCGCTCTTGCACTTGGACCCAGCGAAGCCACGACAAATACCAACAAAAACAACGCCCGCGGTGTTAAGTTGTTGAGGGATGAACAAGGCTACAAACAAACA